GTACAGGAATTCCAGTCCTGACGATAGGTGACCTTCGACAAGGTGAAGTATTTATTGTCTCCTTATCTGTTCTCTCGCTCCTTCCTGGCGGTCCCTCTTCTCGTTCTTGTGTCTGCTTCGCTGGTCTTCAAAAGTTTGTAGTCCGTCGTATACCTACTACTCGACGCCATGAGGGCCTTTCATTTGCCGTCGTCTCCCAGTTGTTGCTATCGATGCGACACTTTGCCATATTTTCCTTTATAACATCTTTGTAGCGGTTTTTTTTACCTTGATTTGGTTTTTCATCTCACAGTTGACTGTAGAGAATCTGTCTTGAAAAAAGTGTTTCGGGCATGCGGACGAGGTTACCTATCCAGCGAAGTTGGTGCTCAATTATGAGGGCTTTAATGCCATTTGTTTTCGTCTCCTCGAAAACACTAATGTTCGTTCGTCGGTCTTGCCATTTAATCCGTAGGATCCCTCTTAGGCATCGCTGGTGGTATTTTTCTAAGCTTTTTATAAGTCTTCTGTACATGGTCCATGTCTCGCGGCATATTTAAGTGCTGTAAGGATAATTGCCTGGAGATCTTCCTCTGTATTGGCCATCACGACAGTATCATCCGCATATTAAAGTTCATTTATCGATGTCGTCGATACTTTCGTCTTAGCAGATTTAATAAGCGGCCATAGTCTTTGCTGGATTTCTACTCCTGATGGCAGGTTTCCCTCCACAGAGTGAAGTACGGCTCCTATAGATAGAGAAAATAAAGTGGGTGCAGTAACACAGCCCTGTTTAACGTCTTTATAGTTATTTGAGAGGACTCTCTATATCCATCGTTGCTTAGGGCGGTTCTTCGTCTTATCACGCCCTCTCCTGCCGAAGGTTGGCGATCCAAATTGCAATTGTAGCTCTGGAAACTGCAGCTCGAAAGATTTCTGCAGACGAGCGGTCGAACCATCTCCTTAAATCTTTTATCCATGAGTTCTGGCGTCTTCCTACTGATGTTTTCCCATGTATTTTGCCCTCCAATATGAGGCGTAGTATTTCGTATCTATCACCTCCCATCACATGACCCAGATATTGCATTTTTCTTTCCTTGATGGTGTTCAGTAATTCTTTTTGTTGGTGCATGCGCTGGAGAACTTCATCGTTGGTGATCCTTTGTACCCATTAAATTCGCAGCATCCATCTAAACACATACATTTCGAAGGCTTCTATCCTCTTTTCGGTCTGCGAATCTAGTGTCCAACTTTCACATCCATAGAGTAGGACAGAGAAGACGTAGCATCTGATCATTCGAGTTCTCAATTCTAAGCTAAGGTCTAGTCTTGTGAAAAATGTTTTAATACTCATGAAGATTTTCCTGGCTTGCTCAATCCTTGAAAGTATTTCCCTTTTTGGGGTCGCACTGACTATTGATGTTAGTTCCCAAAAATTTTATTGAGGTCACTTTTTCTATTGTTTGTCCTCTGGCACGCGGGCGTGCATTTATTGGAGTCTGAGAAAAGACCAATAGCTTGGTCTTGGAAACATTGAAATGTAATCGAAACATTTCGCTATAGTGAACTACGGAATCCATGATGCTTAGTAGTTGTTGTACATCGTTGGCTATTATAACCGTATTATCGGTGTACCTGATATTGTTTATTGGGATTCCATTAATCTTGATTCCTCCCTGGACCCCATCCAGGGCCTCTCTAAATATAGTTTCCGAGTACAGATTAAACAGGAGTGGAGACAGGCAGTAGCGTGTCAAATTTTTTGGGGGCCCCCCCGCGAACTTTCTTCTGAGGCCCCCTATGTCACTATTATATTTTCCAAAAATAACCCATTATAGTACCTAAATATTTATACACAATATCATTATCTAATCAGTGTTTAAAAAAAGCTCTAAGTCACTGGAGAATATTAGGCCTGATTCGAGACTTGACTCAAAATCTGAATCTTCGTTTTCGAGAATATTTGCACCTTCAATGTCTGGTAGGATAGTTTCATCATCATACACTTCTGTTTTTGATGATGAGGTTGCGGATGTTGACAGCGTTTCAGAAGTTGATATAACTTTTTTTTGAAAAAACGTATCAATTTTGGCAATCTTCTTCTTCTCCTCCTCCTTTTTTTCAACTAGTTTTCTTTTTTGAGCCCCACTCAGATATTTGCGCGCACTACTCATTTTAATATTTTGAATATCAACTCAAACCTCAAACGTAACAAGTGAACCAACAAAGACTCGCTAATAACCGGAAATTGCCATTTAAACAGGGAATAACCTATGGGAATCACTGAGGTTTCGACCAGCCAGGGTTTTACAATTATATGTTCGAAAGAAATGGTGACAAATTGAATATAGATTTGAAATGTTTAAATGTGCATATTTGTATTTTTGGAGTTTGTTTGATATACATACATTACTTTTTCTTAGAGTATGTTGGGGGCCCCAATATACCGATGGCCCCCCCGCGTGGCGGGGTCTGCGGGGCCGTTTGACACGCGCCTGGAGACAGGACACAACCCTGTCGAACACCCCGTCTGATTTGCATATCGATGTTGATTGTTCCATCTCTACTACCGCCGTTTCATGCCAATAAAGTTCTGATATAACGCGTAAGTCTGTTCGTCAACTCCAGTTGTTCTTAGAATTTCGATCATCTTCTGATGATTAACACAGTGGTACGTACGCCTTACGATAGTCTATGAAACATGGAAATACATTCACATTCATGTCTCTACACCTTTGTGTCATTACATTTAGGGAAAAAAGGTGCTTCTTCGGAATCCAAACTGAGTGTTGTCCATCTGATATTCGCACTTCTTGTAGATTCGCTTGTGGATGATTCTAAGAAAGATTTTAAGGACATGGGACATAAGACTTATCATCCGATAGTCATCACATTGCGAGGCGTTGAGTTTTTTTGGCAGGGCTACGAATGTTGATTTTAGCGAACCTCACAGTATCTTGCTTGAACAGTGCTGTTATGAAACCTAGGCTTTTGCTTTTATTATGTGCAATTACGGGACCAGTAGCTTTTCCGTTTTTCTGTGCGTTTATTGCATGAACAACTTCGCCTCTAGTTATTTCTGGAGCCTTTGGTGGTGGGGAACAAGGTCTCTCATCAAAAAGTATTTCGATATATTTTCTCCACCTCGCAAGCTTAGCTTCTACTCCTAGAATTATTTCGTTGTTATCGTCTCTTAAGATTGCTCCTAGTTTTTTTCTGTGTCTTTTCTTTTTTATGAACATTGAAGGTGTCATATTTTTCTTGAAATTATTCTATTTCTTGGCACTTTGTCGACATCCAGATCTCTTTCGCTTCCCGGCACTTTTTCCTAATGATCCTATTTAAACGTTTGTATTCTCTCGCATTCCATGTCTTTCCAACATCCTCTTCCCGTACAGGTATCTCTAACATTTATAGTTCTTTTTCGATCTTAGTACTTATCTCTTTCTTTTTCTAGGGGTTATTCAATCGTGCGGTGTCTATTTTTCTTGGCGTTTTTTCTCCTTTAACTCTCAGGAATCACTTGAGTCTAAAGTCCAACACGACAGGGTTGTGATCGCTGTTGATGTCTGCTCCAGGGTAGGTTTTTGTAGATTTCATATACCTTTTAAAGTTTAGGCTGAGCAAAATGAATTCATTCTGATTCCTGACAATTTTTTCCTCCCTGTCTACAGGTGATCTCCTTCTTGGATGCTGTTTGAAAAAAGTGTTAGCGATTAGAAGGATTAGAAGGTTATTCTCTACACATAATTGCACCAGTCTATCTCCCCTGCTGTTCCTTTCTCCAAGACCGTATGCCCCTATGCTATCGCCCTCAACACCACGGCCAATTTTGACATTAGAATCTCCAATTATCATCGTTATCTCTCCCTTCTTTGTGAGCCGCATTACTTCATCTATTTTGTTATGAAATTTTTCGATTTCCTGATCTGGTTTGTCGCTTGTTGCAACATAAATTTGAATTATATTTAAATCTCTGTGAGTTGTTTGTAATTTCAATAGAGCCACTCTATCGCTCAAAGGGATGAAGTCTATGACCGACTGTGCTACTTTATCCGAAACGAGTATGGCTGTTCCATATCGATGCTCTGGGTCAGTACCTCCTGAATAATAAATGTATTACTTGCCCTATGCCTTCCAGAACCAGGCCATCTAACCTCACTTAATCCCAGTATATCGATATTTATTCTCTTCATCTTAGCCTCAGTGTTTGCCAACTTCCCTGGCATAAACAAGCTACGTACGTTCCAGGTGGCGATACGTAATATATTGTCATATATCTTGATTTTCTCCGTGTTCACTTGATTCTCAATAGTAGGCAACGGGGGTATTCTTCTTCGCACCCTCTCCCCACTTAAGGGGTGCCCCGGACTGAGGGCCATTTTTTCGTTTTTGTCTGTCATTAAGATTTTTGGAAAGTAATTTACAGTAAGGGTTCCGTTCCTTTTCTGTACCGCAGTGGGAAAACCATTTTTGCTGATTCAGCAGCGCCTTTCCGTATTCGGTACTATACCGTTTCGAAGTCATTCTTCTCTCGCTATAGCCCGATTTTGGCGAAACTACTGCCTTTCACCAGTGCAGCCGCCCATTCTGGATCAGACGCTGCGTGGGAAATTTCTTAGCTTCGCTTTCTGCTGCTCGAGACCTTACCGGCAAAGGTGTCGCTACCAGTAGCTACGCTACCGCTGGCAATCGCTCCCTGGCTATAAAGCTACTGAGCCCTCTCACCAACGATAAGGTGCTAACTACCCTAGAGAGGTGCCTTAGAGCGGTTGCAATATTATCAGGCGTAGTATCTGGATGTACTTTTGCGGATTTCCAACCTTTGCCAATATCTTCCAAAGAGCTCCTCTGTTGACCGAATCAAATGCTTCCACTAAATCTATGAAGGCCATGTACAATTCCAAACTCTACGAGATGTGTAGGTGTAGGTGAAGGAAATAGAGTTATTTATTAATTTCTCTTCTTCTTTTTCTTGGTTTTTTATGGCATTATTGATTTTTATGTATTCCATTATTCAGAAAATAGGGTTATCGAGCCCAATGATGGACCTGTCGAGCCCATGGGAGTGCCTATTCTGCAGCCCATTGGAGTGCCAGTTGACCAGCCCATCAATGTGGCTCTTGAGGTACCTGTTGATGAGTTTGTTGACGTGGAATTGGGAATTGTGGAACCTATTGTTCAAATGCCGGAGGAATTTGTTGAATATGGGGAGGCACTTATTAATGGACATGCTGTGCAAGTTCCATATGTAGAGCCGGGTAAGTAAAATAAATAATAAATCAAATAATAAAAAATAAAAATATGTTCTAATTATCAGTCAAATGAAAATTGTTCTGATAATTTGATTTGGCTATTTTCGGGTTCGAAAAAAGGACGGTTCTAGAACGGTTCAAAACAATCACACAGTTCATCAATCAACAAAATGACAACAGCTCAGCTATCACAAATTTCAAAAATAAACTGTGCGATTGTTTTGAACTGTTCTAGAACCGTCCTTTTTTCGAACCCGAAAATTGCTAATATAATCACATGACACAGATGTTGCGGAATAATCATAAAATTATTGAACTGGTGCCAAAAATTATGACTACACAATCTTTATTCAAATCTTTGTGGCCTTTGTTGCTGGTCTGCTTCAGTTTGTTTCCATTAAATAGGTGCGACAGTTATTATTTTTTAAGGAGGTTATTAAAGCCATAAGTTCTCAAAACATAGGGCTACGCAACTTTCATAGCACCGCAACTATGTTTTATGTGGATTACATTTTTTTTATCTGTTGGCAAATTTATTTTTGGTTTTTAATAATTTATGGGGGTAAGTGCGAATTAATTTTATTTTTTTTTACTTTTTTCAATTGTCTCTTTTCAATTTACTTTTAGTTTTTTCTATATTATTTCTGATGTCTTTATTCACATCTCTATATTTTGCTGCTGATCTTTTGCTGTTTTTTTTTCCATTTTCCAAGCCCTTGGAATCTACTATCAGATGCTCTACTTTCTCCTCATACCTTCCAGTGCTCTTGTTATAATTTTCCATGTCAAGCTTCTGATTATTTTTTTTTTTTTTGTTTCGAATAGGCTATTAAAACAGGTTGAGTGCCACGGTAAATTGAATAAACTTCATCCTGCGCCCAAAAGCAAATTTATTTATTATACAGATACATTGTTTAGACATCCAATGCACGACATCTTTCAATTTGACAGATGTGAGTGGATGTTCATTTTACTGTGTCCAGTATACTGGATGGATTTATCAATTGATATTCTATTTAGTAGCGTCAATTTTACTGGCAGCGGGCCCTGAGAAGAAACCCTTTTGTCCAGTATACTGGACAGAGGCACTCAACCTGTCAATGTCTAATTTGCCCGAACGAGTCTGTGATCGATCACTGCCTATTGAGAATTGATTTGTGATGGTGACATATTTATCGATATATTTGTTTGTTGAGAGGATAATTATTGATAAAGTCGATATTGTTCTTGATTTTCCTTTCTTAGAGACTCATCTATGTCAGTTTTCTCGAATGTAAATAATCGGATAATAAGTGGAACGCGATTCGATAGTAAGACAATGAACTGTAATAAAGTTTTGTGGGTTGTGATATATTTTTATGACTAGTTAAGCTTGATTGTAGTTGAACGAAACGAAGTGTTGGAATATAGTGCCGTAATTTTTGTGAATCAAGAAAAATTAATTTTGAGAAAGTATTCTCCTCACTAAACCAAACAGCAAAATTAATGAGGAGAATAACATTGGGATGAGCAGCATATGGCAAACTTCGAGATATCTTCAAAAATGATGTCCCAGCTACACTTAAATGAAAAGCTTTCAACATAGGCTTCGTCACTGTACTTACTTATGGTGCGGAGACCCTAACCGTGACCAAAATATCAGCATGCAAGTTACAAAGAACGCAACGTGAAATGGAACGCTCGATGCTTAGTATAAGTCTCAGAGATAGACTACGAAATGACGCCATTCGTAAGAAAACAGGGGTTGATGATGTTCTGGTACGAATACCAACAAGAAAATGGATATGGGCCAGGCATATTACAAGATAAAACGATGGTAGATGGACCGAGAAAATCCTGGAATGGCGATCAAGAGCAGACAAGCGAAGCCGAGGTCGACCGCCAACCAGATGGACCGATGACGTGAAATGGATTAGTACCTACCAACTGCCGTGCAGGACAGGAAAAAATGGAAATGCCTATGCCCAGTACTGAACGAACCAATATTCGACCCGCCTATGCAATAATTGGTGCTAGAAGTTAGTAAAAAAAATGCCCGTCTATGGAAAAAACGAAGTAGCCATCTGCGCCTTCTTGGACAAAGAGGGGCATTTGATAATACCTCTCATGAGTCAATAAAGAATGCGCTCGTCAAAAAAGGAGTGGACAAAACCACATTTACCTGGATGTGCGAAACGCTAGCCACCAGAACTGCAGAAACGTGGGTTACTACCACTAGAGGATGTCCGAAGGGAGGGGTACTCTCACCTCCTAAATTTACTGCAGGCAAATACGAAGGAATACTCTGCGACCTTATAGAAAAAGCACTTCGAACCACGAAAGAATGGTGTCAGACAGTGAGAATCTAAACTCAGCAAAAACCATACCGGTAACATTTAAAAAAGGAACGAAACTCCCAAACCTGAGAAACATTCGCCTTGATGGAAGCAGACTTGATTGGAAAAAAGAAGTTAAATTCCTAGGAATAACCCCAGATTCTAAACTTCTCTGGAACCGACATGTAGAGAACACAAAAAAAACAAAGCAATTTTGGCACTTATGGTCTGCAAAAACATTGCGGGTAAAACATGGGGTTGTAACCTGTCAATACTAAGATGAATGTATACCATGATAGTGAGACCTATCATCACCTACGGAGCGGTAGCCTGGTATAGCCGAACCCAGCTACTAACAGCTAGGAAAACCCCTTGGAAAAGTGCAAAGACTCGCATATCTCTGTACAACAGGAGCAATGAGATCATTCTCAACCGCGGCACTAGAAATCGTTTCAGACCTCACACCACTCCACATAATAGTGAAGCGGGTTGCCAGTGGATCATGTCTCAGACTGGAGAAGATAGGTCTACAAAGGAAAATGTTCCATGCCAGAACTTTTCCTCTTCGAAACTGTGCACACCTCATGGATCTACCAAAAGACGCAATTGTTGATAAATTCAGTTTCGAGAAAAACTTTTCCATTGAACTAGGTACAAGAACAGATGGAACATGGAATATATCCAATCCCTTAAAGCAAACACCATCAAATGATACATAGACGGTTCTGAAGATGCTGAGGGAACTGGAGCCAGATTATTCGGGCCACAAACCAGATACTCAGAGCCAATGGGGAAATCACCAAGCATATTTCGAGCGGAACTTCATGCGATCGGAAGATGCATGCAGTTCAACCTGAACAGAAGTTATCGGAAAAGAGAGATTGTAATGATGTCTGACAGCCAAGCAGCTATTAAAACATTGAGATCATCGGTCATCAATTCTTAGACAGTATGGGAATGTCTACAGAAGCTAAATGGGCTGGGAAAACAAAATAAAGAAACCCTCCTCTAGGTGCCCGGAGACAAAGGTGTCGGGGGCAACGAATGCGCATACGGACTCGCAAGAACGGGAGCGTCTACTCCCTTCACTGGGCCAGAACCATTCTGCGGCGTCGGAAATGCGCACCTCAAAGAAATCCTCAAAAAAGAAGAGAACCGGCTAAGGAACAAACAATGGCTAGAACAGCCAGGACTATAACAGGCCAAAGATCTATTGGGCAAGTTCAACCAAAAAAGATTAGTACTGCTGGTCAACCACAGCAAGAAAAGTCTCAAGACCGGGTTTCTCTCGGGACATTGCAGACTTAAGAATCACCTACAGAAGTTGGGTTTAAAAGAAGGTGGCACCTGCAGATTCTGTAAAGATGGAGAAGAGACACCTTACCATCTTCTACTGAACTGCGATGCCGTTAGTCGCTCAAGGGTGAAGAACCTGGGAAGTGTCCTTATACAGTTGGAGGACATTCCAGCCCTGGAACCGCTAGATATCCTAAAGTTCCTTAAGGACCTAGGACTAGAGGGGCTGCTTCGAGCAGGGAACCCGAACTTAGATGCAGAAGGATGCATAGGGATACAACAATAGATCAACCTTGGTCGCGGTGCAACTGACACCTCCATTACACACACACAAACATACATACACATATGGAGGAAACGACGCCCGGACCACCGACATGGATGATCAGATGAAGCAGATGTTCGATCTATTGAAACTTGCAGACAAGGAAAGAGAAAAAGAAAAACAGGAAGCAAAAGACAGACGACTGGAAAATAGAAAACAGTAAGAAATAGACAGGCGACTGACAGAAAATCAGGAAGAAATAAAAACAGAAAGACATTGGCAGTATCGCAAGAAAATAAAAGGTGAAATAGGGACGATTCGCAAAGAATTCGAGAAGAAATATGAAAAACTGGAGAAGACGATGGAACAAATTCGCAATGAGGCCAACAACGAAAGCGACAGCGAAATGGATTTGTAGGTGAGCCCTACGTACGCGGCCAACTCAAATCATCAAATTTCGGCGGCGAAACTTCCTGGTCTATGTATAAACGAAAATTTGACACTGCTGCTAGTTTAAATGAATGGAATGAATAGAAAACACCAACGGCATTGCGGAATTCTCCAGAATATTTTAGGCGAAACAAATTCACTATGAAGCTGTTGTAGACGCCTGAAGAGCTGAGGTATGGAAACAAATATCTAAGTATAGTGCATCAGAGCCAGCATGTTGACATATCCAAAAGCTCCAGAAGAATCCTAAATAAACGTCCGGTACTGCATGAATCTTAACTGCTGGACAATCAAAGCGGAACAACACCTCACTGACCACCGGTTGTAAAAGAAAAGTTTGTTTTTTGAACCAAAATAAAACATTTTTTTTTTTTTTTTTGTGTAGATCATTGTAACACCCCAGGGCCCGTATTCTCGTAACCGGGGAACAGCGTTCTCTCAAGAAAACGATTGCTCTGTCTTTGTCAGTATTATGGAAATAACAATATGGTTGACTAAGACAGAGCAATCGTTCTCGTGAGAGAATGCTGTTCTCCGGTGACGAGAATACGGGCCTTGGACTGCTTCTTTTGCAATAAAATATTTTAACCTCTTTAATTTCTCGGTGACCAGTAGAGTATCAAATTAAGAGTTACTTGAAACTCTTTTATTTGGAACGTGTCCATGTTTTCAAGCTGTAA